TCATATAAATATATTTGCATATGTACATGTCTTTATCTAGACCTCTATAAATGCCCTTTGCCTCCCAGCTCTTTCCTCTATTTCCCTTGATTCTGACTTGGCTTTTCTATGTTAAAGGCAGAGATCAGCACTTGTCAATGAGGTCTCACTAAGCAGTAAGCCTAGAAAGACTTCACATATGAAAATCAAATGAAATGAACTGAAAAGGGGCTTTCTTGCTATCTGTGATTCAATTTTAGTCTCACATCCTTCTGCTCACCCACACTTAGAAATATGTCCCACAGTGGGTCCCACAGAGGACACCAACCTACAGTCCTCCCCAGTATGCGACCCAGTGAGAAGGCTTGAATCCTCGTGTCCATGCTACAAGTATATTTCCTGAGTGCAGGATATTCTCCAGTGGAGATAAGAGTTGTGTTGTGCAAAAGCTATTTAATGATATCTGATTTTTAAAGAAAGAATAATTTCAAATCCCAGTATTGTAGTATTGAATATATTTGAGCAAAGAATGTTTTCTAAGATTGCTTTCCTCAGGCAGATGTTGATATTGACTTTAAACTGTATAGCATACATTCACATTTGCCTACAGAATGAGGAAAAGAGAGAAACCAAGCACACTTTCCCTTTTGTTCACGGAGCTACTCATGCTTTATGTAAATAGATAAAATAAGACAAGTGAGTGATAAACTCACGATTTATATGAATTTTGGTAGAGCAACATGTCAGTAATCTTCAATAACATCAGTAATCGAAAGTTCTAAAATTCTAACAGTGAAAGAACCATTTCAAAAAGAAAAGAAAAAGAAACCCTCACTGCTATCAAGCCAAGGCCTCCTCACAGCGACCCCAGAAAGCAGGGTGGATGGAGCTGCTGTGCGTCTCCAAGCCTGCAGCTCTTTACACGAGCAGGAAGCCCTGTCTCTCTCCCACAGAGCAGCTGGAGGCCCTTGCAGTGATCAGCCCAACGTGTAACCCCTATGCCACAGGGCGCCCAAAGAGCCATGCCCGGATGAAAATTTACAAATGGACTGCAAAGTCTAGCTTAAAACACACCCAGAAAAATTACTTTACAAAATAACCATAAAATTTATATCACTTTAGACAATGACTTAGTATGCAATACCTCCTAAGGCAGGGGTCCTCAAACATTTTAAACAGGGGGCCAGTTCACTGTCCCTCAGACTCGTTGGAGGTCGGACTATAGTTTAAAAAAAAAACTATGAACCAATTCCTATGCATACTACACATATCTGATTTTGAAGTAAAAAAATAAAACAGGGCAAAAGCACCCGGCGGCCTGGATAAATATCCTCGGCGGGCCATAGTTTGAGGACCCCTGCCCTAAGGCGACATATTTATAAGCAGATTTCAATGTTCCCTTACGTTGTCCGCAGTAAGTTCCAATGTAACCCTTCTGACACTGGCAATGGTCTTCTGCACAGGACCCACCGTTCATACATCTAACGCTGCACTGCTGAACTACAGAGCACAAAAAAAACATACACAAATACGTCAGTCGCTAAAATGACAGAATGGGTGGGATAGAGAAAACGAAACAGAACATCCTATACAGAAGTAAAGCGTGTGATCCAAGCATAGCTTTATTACTTGTCATACACAGATACACGGACTTATCTAGATTATGCTATTCAGAGTGCATTTAAAATATATGACCCTTTCTAGACTCCAGGAAATGTCCTAAAGGTGAGCAGCAGCATAGTTTCTAGTAGGCAGCACCTATTTCATCATCTCAGTGACAGTCAGCCTGTGTCTGCTGAATGCCCACATACCCAGGTAGAGGAATTTGAAAAGCTCAATTTTTAACTTTCTCCAGAATTGGATTTTTGCCTATGGTATCTACTTGAAACCTAGACTAGGTTAGGGGCAAAGAATACTTTTCAGCCAATCAAGGAAGTAACATTCAAGTGACGAAGGGAAGAAACTTGTTCATCAAAGTGCTTAAGGAAGTCTCAGGGTCTGAATAAAAGGTTTTAACCTGTGTGATATACAATGTCTGCTTACATTTTATGTCACCTGGGTTTAGTGGGAAGGAGCTAGCCCACTCTTAGTGCCAGCTGCCACCTAGTGGGCTCCTGTATTACTCCACTCATCTGAAGCAACAGGTTTATCCCATCAACTTCAGCATGAGAGATCCCTCTGGCATACAGGGAGGTCGGCATACAAGGAGGCTTCGCAAAGTTTGGGGGAAAAGTGAATGAAAAGATAATGGAATTTTTCTTTGAAGTTTATGAAATCACCCTTATGTAAGTCCTACTGATTAGACAAAAATCCCTATATGTCACAAATGTTGTTTACTTCATTAACCGTACCTTCTATTACTCAAAACTCATGGTTTCAATAAAAAGTTCAAAGCAGAAAATGATTCAGCCCTGAGAGGGTCAAGAAGCTCGAGGAAATGGCAAAGTACACTCGGAGAGTGTGAAACGAGCTTTTATCAGAAGACAAGATACCAACTTGCAGAAGTACAATAAAGTCAGCAGATTTCCTGAGATCAAAAGATAATGTGTTAGATTGTCTCTAGGGTGCTGAGAATACATTTATTGTCTGAATTCTAAATCATGTAATTTTCTACCCTGAATCTGTCACACCTTCAATCACTTTTGGTAAGGAAGGCTTCCAGAAAGAAATTTTTTAAAATAACAGTTTCACTAGTTTGATGCAAGTGTGTATTTAAGCATTCTTGTTAAGCAATTAAATAAACAGCATGTGCGTATACGTTGTTATGTTACCTTACATACTAGCCCCCGCATTAATCTTGAACCTTGGAGACCTACCAACGTCTAATTGGGTCACGAAGAGTACGGTCCTAATTCACAGTCACAGCTATTTTGCATATCTGTCCGAGTTTATACATACAAAGTACAATACAATTTTATGTGTAAAGTACATAATATGAAGTCAGAACTCAATGAAAACTCGTTGTATCCCCAATCTCCTTACCTTTGGTTAACCAAAGCAAACATGCATTCAAAACCCCAGAAAATGTAGACTAGACGTTATGAAAATAGGATGGGGCATAAAAAGACACATTCAAATCTGTTTTACTTTGGGCAGGTTACTTAACCTGTGTGTGTCTCAATCCTCCTCTGAAACGAGAATTGGTAGTCTCTCATCATGTGCTATGGAGATTAAATAAGCTTATTGAGTTAAACACTTAAAATTGTCGCTGGCGTGTAGTATTTCATTGCCTTAGTGTCAATTTGACTCATGGCAACCAAGTAGGATAGAATAAAACTGAGTCATAGAGTTTCTGAGACTGAATCTTTATGGAAACTGACAGGCTCGTTTTTCAGTGTAGTGGCTGGTGGCTTAGAACAGCCAACCCCCAGTCTAACACTTAACATTAGTTCACAACCAACAAATTAAAAATATTTTGCACAGAGACTGACTTCTCCCACTGAATCTATTTTCCTCTACTGCAGATACCTAATTCCTGGATCTTAATTTTTGGCACTGAAAAGCAGGATGTCACTGAAAACTTGGTAACAATGAAGTCACCAAAGGCTTTATGTCTCAGATTAACACAGACCAAGTTTCTGAAGAAGGGGCCTGGGAAGTCAATGATCAGCATTTGGCTGCTAACCCAAAGATCAGTGGTTCAAACACACCAGTGGTTCTGCGGGAGCAAAGACGTGACAATCTGCCCTCACAAAGATTAAAGCCTGGGAAATTGCATGGGACAGTACTGCTCTGTCATAAAGGACCACTATGAGTCAGTACTGACTCCACACAATATTCTCTCTTATGAGGAAAAGGATCCCGAAACACCTCATATAATAGAACACGTAACATTTACTAAGGAACTCAAGGGAAACCCAGTAATCAGTCACATATGAGAAACATACTTGATTTTGATCCACAAGTAGGTGATATCTGGCCACTGGAGCAAGTACACATGTTAGGTCGGGAGCAGAATCCATCGCCACAACTATTTCTACAAATTGCTGTAAAAGGCACAATAGGAAATAGAATGAATAATTATGTAGTGAACCAATGGTTTATAAAACAAGAAACCTATCTTTAAGACTAATGGGTATGAAAACTTAAGACATACAACTTATGCTACAAAACATCTAATTTCAGATATATAATTACCCATTTTAGAACAGATCTGGTAAGTATGCAAACAACCATGTACAAACAAATGAAGTGATTTGAAAGTCCACAACTGAATGATCAGGTTGTCTTTTCCATTCAAGGAAGTGAGAGGACGTGCAGAATTCCTCAAGATATTCCTGATCTGAAGAGAACTGGGAGAGTTGGGGACACCCAGAGGTTCTGGATACTCTTAGAAAACCTACCCCATCATACAGGGCACTCACAAGCGAGGGTAAAATTGGGAAATTGGCTAAGCCAAAGGAAGGCTCTGAGACTGGGCCCAGCCTCAGGGGTTCCATGCACATTCCTTCCCTACTGGTAGCTGACCTGCCCCCTCATCAATCTTTATTCCCCTTAATAATTCCTTTTCTCCTCTCTGCAATTTTTCTTCTCCTGTTTATCTCTACAACCTTGCCAATTCCTGCTATTCAGAAAAGCCACTAGGACGTTTTGATGATGGGAGACCGAGAGCCTCCTGCAGCTGTGACCTGTACTGAACACAAAGGTAGGGTCATCTCAGCAAAGAATGTTAGGTTCACTGACACAGCACATACCACAGACACGCAAAACCTTTACCCCAGTGCCTACATGTGGGAAGTCTTGCCCGCAGTTAGTTCAGTTAGGAGCTAAGAGATTTTTTACAAACCCTACAATTGAATCCTCTGTATCCACCCATGGGTTGTGTACTCTAAGGCTCCCCATATGAATGTGTGAAGCGATGGAGAGAGGAGACTCTGAATGCCCTAGAACCAGATGTCAAGTGTTTATGCTGATATGCAAGTATCTTTTGTTAGGAAGCCACCACACCCCCACTAATGTGAAGGGCATATTCTATAGAAACAAACTAATTCAATTTTTTTTCCTCTCTAATTGTCTTTTAACATCCAAGTAGTGGTCAGCACACTACTAGTATTCCTAGAAATGGGAATATTAGCACATATCATGGTCTAAGGAAGAATGCTAAGGTTTTCTACTTCCAGAGTTAGTCTTGGAAATGCACAAGGGCATTCCTACCCTGTCCTAAAGGGTCACTAGGAGTGGAAATTGACTCAAAGGCAATGAGTTTGATTTGGATGGACCACGGTAAAAAAATTTTTAAATATAGACTCCAGGCAAAAATATGGTTCCTGTCATGGTGATTATTGTTAATTCTCAAACTACACCAGGTGCTATTAGTTACTTTCCAATAAGCGTCCACTAAGATCCCAGTGGAATATTATTTTATGTCGAAGTCCTCACTATCCCCAAACCCAAAACCAAACTCACGGCCATCAAGTCAATTCTGACTCACAGCAACTCTAAAGGCAGGCTAGAATGGCCCTTGTGGATTTTTCAGACGCTTAACTTTTCGTGGGACTAAGAAAGTGTCACCTTTCTCCTTCAGAGTGGCTAGTGGTTGAGAACTGCTGACCTTTCAGCACACCACCAGGCCTCCTTCACCATCCCCAAGCAGATTCTTATTCTTATTCTAGGACTTCCATGCAGAGCCTCAACCCAGTCCAAGTGGACCAATTGTCTGCCATGGTCCAAGGGGAGCAGTCTACAGCTAAGCACCAGTGAGAAGGAAGCAGCGCTCAAGAAACACCTTTCTCTCACGCTTTTGTGTGACTCCACTGAGCACCTCTCTCATACAATCACAGAAACCCCACGCGCTGGACTGAAAGACCTGCAGAGGACTGAGCGAGAACCTAGGGCTGGGACTTCAGTGATGCTGGGAAATTTCCCAGAGTCAAGACCACATGGGACTCGGCAAGTTTGAGAACCACTGTGAGGTGAAAGAAACCGTAGTCTCTAAGGTTCCATTTTCTCCTTGGTAAATTAACATAAAACGGATTAGATTGGCTATATTTTGATGTCTCTTCAGGTCTCAAATTTTGGGATTCTGAGTCAACCCTATCCACTATCTATCATTTCTACTGTTCAAAATGTGGTTTGTGGCATAATTTCACAATAAACAAACAAGAAAGCATTTCCATTGCTTCATATTCCAGCAATATAAAAAATGCAAAGTGAGAAAGTGAATCGCCCATCCCTCGGAAAACAAATATTTAGATGGTTGGAAGAACATCAGTGATTTTTGCAGGCCATAAAATGAGAATAAAACATAGAGGCAGAAGTCAAAAATCCATTAAGTTTCCAGCTTTTTAAGAAATGGAGTTTCTTTTGATTGCCTTCTTCTCCACATGAAGCCTGGTTAAGGCCCAACTAACTATAATTCTGGAAGGTGATTATTTCAGTATAGTTCTATGAAGAAAGAATAATAAAATATGTGTGTATAAGAAAATCCTCTTTGGTTCTCATTTTATTTCTATTTTACTTGTTCTCTTTATGTATGTTGCCTCAGAGTTTTCCTTTTGCTAAAGTGGAGAGCTATAAATAAACTCAATTAAGGCAAAAAAATAACTAAGTACATCATCATAAGAAAAATCTTAAAAATTAATACAGAATATTGAAAAGTTAAAATTTAGATGGGGCCTATAACTGGACATAAAGCTATTACATTCTTTGTACAGTGAATTATTTTACACTCAAGTGATTTGATTACCTTTATATTGTACCAGTAACCAATATTTTTGTAGCTACCTTTTGACACAAGTGTTACAAATGGCAAAATGTATGCTCTTTAAAGATTTATGATACATGCACACTCCAGTGTACCTCACAAGTGCTCACCAATCCCCAGGAGCAGAAATGCAGCTATCATTTTCACTGGTAATGCTAAAGTTTTCAAAGCTAATCTTCTAAGCAAGTAAAGAGCACATGGTCACTCAAACCCACACGTGTATAACAATGATATTGATATTCGTAGGGTCATACACACAATTCTGCTGGAGATATTCTGGAAGGCTCTATTCTCTAGAATTCCCATTCCACACGCATCCAATAAAATCTGACTTTACAGATTTTCAACACGTGCCAAAACTGATCCCTTCTTCTCGGCTGCTCTCTAACTCAATAATGTCAGTCACCTTCATTACTGCACTCTCAGTGAGTCAGACTTTCCGCAGTGCCTCCGTCACGGGCGGCTGCTATGGCAGGTGTGCAGTGAGTGATGCTAGCTGTGTCAGGATTCTAGGAAACCATGTAAATTTCAAGCAGCCACAGTCATGCCCTACTGGCCTGCAAGGGTAAATGCACCCTCCGTAAAAGCCCCAATCAGGATGCCTGCAGGCCTTCTGTACTGGAGAGAAAAGAATGCAGCATTCTTTCTCATGCTTTTTCATGAAAATAAAGGCTCGTCTTCTGAGCACCTCTTTGAAACACTTTTGAATCGTTTACAGTTGTTTCCTAGTTTTGCCTCCTCCCTGGAGGTGGTGGGGCTTCAGAATTAAAAGACAGACATCGGCCTTTACCACACTTCAGAGTCCATTCATTTTTTTAATGGCACTTGAAATAACATTAAGCGTCGATTTCAAAGCCACAAAACCAATAAATATAGAGTTAGAGATGCCACTACATCCTTATTATTCCTTGGCTAGTGTGGTTTCAACTTGCCCTCTTTCTCTGTTCACAGTGGCATAATTATCTTTTCCCTGGAGAACATCAGGGTCAATCCCAAGTCAAGACTGGGGCTCAATGAAGGTACTGTCTATGATACCTGGCACCCCTCCTGCCAGGACAAATGTGGCTGTGTGACAGAAACACACGGCAGAGGGCCAGTCACACGTCCTTCCACTCGGTGAATCACAGGTATGGGAAATAAGGCCAGAGCAGGGAGCCTGAGGACTGAGGAGGCCTCAAATTCGAGTTGGAAAGCAAGGTATACATGCTGGAAATGAGATGAATAACCAAACACCGCTGAACGTCATAAGAACAGGTAGAATATTTTTTGAGATCCACGACAATATCTTGGAGATGGATTGCACACCCTGGGATCTGGAGTCTGGCACCCCTAAATTTAAGTGTCTCCCCACAAAATGCCAAGCCATTTCTATGAGGAGCTCTCTAGATCTCTTAACATTTTTGCTAATCTGGGTCAACCCTAAATCTGTGAGCGTGTGCCTTTCCTATCTCTATGATGTGGGTGTTGAGGGAAAACCAAAGATAACAATGTGGTTTTTCTAAGAAGGCCTAAGAAAACATTATCTTCAGAAGCCCTAAACCTCAGCAGAGTAAAAAACCAGGTGATTTACATAATCACACTGCGCTCTTATCCGGACTCCAGGAGGAAAGTGGCCTTGGGTTATCTAGGGGACTGCTCTACTCCCCCAGCTCCCTCAGTTTGTATTAATAGAAACTTAGAAAGATAAAACTTCAGGTATCTTTGAAACTTTTATCAGCACTGCCCTTCAACAGAGTCTAGAGGCCGTTTCCTCCCCATCATTTAAATGGTGTGGCTCCATTATCACTGCTATGTGGCTACTTGATTCCAAATGCAACAATGTCATTGTAAATGGGTGCGAACAACTGAATTCAAGACTGGCAGGGCCTCAGCAGTCCCGTCCACTGCCCTAACTGCAATCCCAGCGGAACACTCACGGACAATGCACTGGTTTCCTCCAGGGAGAGTCTTCCATCCTGGGCAGCAGTATGAGTGGAACCTAGAGCCGCAAACATTGGGCCTGCAACAGACAAGAGTGGTCACACACTTAGGGAGGGGTGACGTAGAAGCCAGAGAAACTAGATTTCTGGTCGACGGACAAACCACCCAACCAAAAGTACACTTCAAATTCTCCAGGTTTGGGACGCAGAACTGAGAGCAAGTGGGTTCGACTGGAAGAAGAGAGGTTCAGAAACGTGCAAGCCTTGTTTGCCTTTTTAAAGGGCACAAAAAGACACAGGGCAACATATAATTTGCTACTATTCTAGACTCCAGTTGCCGAGAACAAAGGGACTATTCCCCTCCAAACACCATGCATTTTCTCCACTAGGTCTAACCCTCCGCGATCAACTGTGACTTGGGGCCCCCAGGCGTCTAGAAAGGCGCATCGGAGGTGCGCTGGGCACAAGGAGACAGGGCTGAAAGCCAGTGGGCACACATCCGCAGACAAAAGGCTCCAGAGCTGCGCCCCGACGGCGGAGTGCCCGCAGGACCCGCCAGCCCCAGCATCTGGAGGCCCAAGGCCCGCCCTCCGCTGGGCATTCGGAACCTGTTCCCGCACCACATAGGCTCACCAAACGCCCTGCACCCGATCCACCGGCTGTCCGACGCCCGGGAGGGCTTTCAGCCCACCAAGTGGTGGAGGAGGAGGGGAAGGCACTCCTGGGGTCTTCGGGCTCCCCTGGTGAGAGGGGGGCGCGCTCCCGCCAGGGCTGGGATGGAAAGGTGCCAAGCCTCGGCGTCGGTTCACCTACCCTCGGAGCACGTCCTGCTGTCCTCGCCGGCGGACACGGCTGGCCACCGCGGCTCCCTCGTCGCGGTACTCGGGAGGGGGGAAGCCGCCTTCGGAGCCCGCGGCCGCGGGCCGTACCTGGGGCAGCAGCGGCTGAGAACGCGGCGGCTTGGGCGGCGAAGGCTGGGGCTGGCCACCGGTGCCCTGCGCCCAGAGCGCCACGCAGCCCAGCCACACGAAGTAGGGCTGGAGACCGAGCCGCCGCCGTCTGCCCATGGCGCGCGCCGCGAGCGCGGGGAACGAGGCCCGCGGAGAGGAAGCGGGAAAAGGCGA